AGCTAACTCTAACTCTTCCTTGAAACACTTTTTCATTTGTATTCTAGGAAATCTGGGTCTCCTGCTTCTCTTCTATTGGCTGAGCATGCCTGTTATTTTCTCTCCCTCTTCTAATCACGGTCAGGTCCTGGACTCAGGATACTCATCTTTTCCTTCTCGATCCATTCATTCCCTTTGTGGTATCACCTAGTCTATGTACCATATGTGTATCGTGTCTGTAAATGTGTTCAGCATTGGGCTGGTGTAGTGGAGTAGAGGGTAAAGCTGCCAGCTGTGATGCCAGCATCCACAAAGGATGCCAGTTTGAGTCCCAGCTGCTCCCCTTCTAATCCAGCTCCCTGTTAATGTGTCTGGGTAACCAGTGACAAATGGTTCAACTTCTTGGACCCCTGCCATCATGTGGAAGACCAAAAGAAGATCCTGGCCCAGCCCTGTTACAGCCATTTGGGGAGTGAACCAGCAGATGGTAGATCTCTCTCACTCTCATTCTCCCTCTTTCTCTGTAACTCTGACTCTCAAATAAATAAATAAAACCTTAAAAAAAAAAATGTAGCCGATGCCACGGCTCACTAGGCTAATCCTCTGCCTGCGGCACTGGCACACCGGGTTCTAGTCCCGGTCGGGGTGCCAGATTCTGTCCTGGTTGCTCCTCTTCCAGTCTAGCTCTCTGCTATGGCCCGGGAGTGCAGTGGAGGATGGTCCAAGTGCTTGGGCCCTACACCCACATGGGAAACCAGGAGAAGCACCTGTCTTCTGGCTAGGGATCAGCCCGGTACACCGGCCGCAGTGCGCCGGCCGCAGCGGCCATTGGAGGGTGAACCAACAGTAAAGGAAGACCTTTCTCTCTGTCGCTCTCTCTCTCTCTCACTGTCCACTCTGCCTGTCAAAAACAAACAAACAAACAAAAAAACAAAAACCAAAAATGTGTTCAGTACTAACATGTCCTGTCTAGCAGCCAGGAGCAACATATGGCTATTTAAATTTAAATTCCTCCGTCACACCAGTTACATCTTAAGAGCTCAAGGGTTACATGTGGCTAGTGGCTACCAAATAGGACAGCACAGATACAGAAAATTTCTAATATCACAGAAAGGTATATTGTGCAGCTCTAGTTTGGACCTCTCCTCTGAACTCTAGATTTATATACCCAATTTCCATCCTGACACTGCCATGTAGATATCAAATAAACACCTCAAAATCAAAAATCATGATAGTCCACCCTAAATCTGCTCCTTCCATTTTTCCCCCTATTTCAATGATGTTAGCAGCGTCCTTCCAGTTGTTCAAGCTGAAACCCAGAGAGTAACTCTTGACTCTACTCTTACTCCATATCCAACTGATGAGCAAATTCTGTCAACTCCGACCTGGAACCTGAGCACTTCTTTCACCTCCACTTCTCCTATCTTGTTTGAAGCCACTATCATCTTTATACTCCTTGCTTCATCTTTAGCCCCTGTAAAGTCTATTTTCAACTCAACAGCCAGAAGTCGTGTTCATGTTGGTCCTCTATTCAAAATCCCCTTAAGATTTGTTTAAAATTTATTTTTATTCAAGAGGCAGGCAGAGAGTCAGAGACAGAAACAAAGAGAGCTCCCATTCACAGGCTCACTCTCCAAAGAGCTGAAACAGCTGGAGCTAGGCCAGGATTAAGCCATGAACCAAGGGCACAATCCAGGTTTCCCATGTGTGTGGCAGAAACCCAATCACTTGCCATTACTACTACCTCCTGTAATCTGCATTAGCAGGAAGTTAGAGTCAGGAGATCGAGCAGGACATTGCAGGATGTGAGCATCCTAACTCCTAGGCAAACTGTTTGCTTCTCAAATCCACAGCTTAATCATATCAAAAGTCAAAGTCTCTATAACAAAGTACAGGGCCCACTCCATTAACTCTGATCTCATCTCCTACTACCGCTCCTCTTCACACTCCTGGGCAGTCATACTGGCTGCTCCTTAAAAGAACAAGGTATATTTCAGCCTTCTTCCTAAACTATAATAGAAACAACTAAGTTCAGAAATCACCAAGAAGAGTGGGCGTTTGGCCTAGTACTTGATACACAAGTTAGGACACATGTCCCCTTGCAATGGTGTGATTGAGTTCATTGCCCAGTTTCAGCTCCTGATTCCAGTTTCTTGCAGCCCTTAGAGGCAGTAGTGGTGGCTCAAGTAGTTGGGTTCTTGCCACTAACATGGGAGACACAGACTGAGTGTCCAGCTCCAACCTTCAACCCTCTATCTGTTGAGGGTATCTGGGGAGTGAACCAGTAGGTGGGAGCTCTGTGTGTATATGTCTGTCTCCCTGTCTGGCTGTTGAATGAATGAATCAATGAATAAATAAATAAATTTAAAAAGTTAAAAGAATCACAGTCTCTCTCTCACTCTGTAACTTTGCCTCTCTAATAAAGAAATAAATCTTTAAAAATATATATACTTGAAAAGCTAAAAGGATTTTTAAATGTTTTTACTACAAAGAAACAAATATTTGAAGAGACAGATACGTTTGGCCTCATTTGAACATTACATGCTTTGTACATGTATAGAAATATTATATGGTACCCATAAATATGTACAATTTTTATGTGGCAGTTACTGCGGCGGCAGCACCCCGGGTTCTATTCCCAGTTGGGGCGCGGGATTCTGTCCCGGTTGCTCCTCTTCCAGTCCAGCTCTCTGCTGTGGCCTGGGAAGGCAGCACAGGATGGCCCAAGTGCTTGGGCCCTGCACCTACATGGGAGGCCAGGAGGAAGCGCCTGGCTCCTGGCTTTGGATCGGTACTGCAAGCCAGCTGTGGCGGCCATTTAGAGGGTGAACCAACGGAAGGAAAACCTCTCTCTCTGTCTCTCTCTCTCACTGTCTAAATCTGCCTGGCAAAAAAAAAAAAACACACCAGTGCCGCGGCTCAATAGGCTAATCCTCTGCCTGCGGAGCCGGCACACCGGGTTCTAGACCCGATCAGGGCGCGGGATTCTGTCCTGGTTGCACCCGCATAGGAGACCAGGAGAAGCACCTGGCTCCTGGCTTCGGATCAGCATTATGCACCGGCCGCAGCACGCTGGCCGCAGCGGCCACTGGAGGGTAAACCAACAGAAAAAAAAAGGAAGACCTTTCTCTCTCTCTCTCTCACTGTCCACTATGCCTGTCCAAAAAAATATATATATATATTATATGGTACCCATAAATATGTACAATTTTTACATGGCAGTTACTGTAAGAATCTTCTGTTATTCTGCCTTACAAATAAATGAAATAAATATATTTTTTTAAAAAGTAAGTTTATGGATTAAATGTTCCTATTTGGTAACAGTATAATAATATATTTAGAATGAGTAAGTTCTTACTTGCCAAACTCTAAAATACCATACCATGATGTACAGCTGCCTGCTTTCTAATCAAGTTCATCTCAACACAACTGATCCACAAACTATTACTGGTCAGCTGTGAAATAAGCTTGGGAAAAAGTGCACTTCAATACACTGCTTCCTTTATCAAGAAAACTTTGATATAAAAAAATTTCAAGTGAACTAAACACTATCCATACTAATATAAATATTTTACATCCTGGTACAAGCTCTTATCTCACTGCAAATTGATATTATTTCATGGAGCCATGAATCAAACTTTGGATAGCACTGCCCTAAATTATCTCCTTTGTCTTTAAGTCTACCTCATATTTTTTTTCAACGATTTATTTATTTATTTTAAAGTCAGAGTTACACAGAGAGAAGGAGAGGCAGAGAGAGAGAGGGAGAGAGAGAGAAAGAGAGAGAGAGGTCTTCCAACCACTGGTTCACTCTCCAGTTGGCAATAACAGTCGGAGCTGTGCCGATCCGAAGCCAGGAGCCAGGAGCTTCTTCTGGGTTTCCCACACGAGTGCAGGGGCCCAAGGATTTGGGCATCTTCTATTGCTTTCTCAAGCCATAGCAGAGAGCTGGATTGGAAGTGGATCAGCAGGGTAGCGAACCAGTGCCCATACCTCATATTTTCTTTTTTTTTTTCTTTTTTTTTTTTGACAGGCAGAGTGGACAGTGAGAGAGAGACAGAGAGAGAAAGGTCTTCCCTTGCCGCTGGTTCACCCTCCAATGGCCGCCGCTGCAGCCGGCGCACCACGCTGATCCGATGGCAGGAGCCAGGAGCCAGGTGCTTTTCCTGGTCTCCCATGGGGTGCAGGGCCCAAGCACCTGGGCCATCCTCCACTGCACTCCCTGGCCATAGCAGAGAGCTGGCCTGGAAGAGGGGCAACCAGGACAGAATCCGGCGCCCCGACCGGGACTAGAACCCGGTGTGCCGGTGCCGCAAGGTGGAGGATTAGCCTATTGAGCCACGGTGCCGGCCCACCTCATATTTTCTTAATACCTTCTTCATGCAATGTCAGAGTTTCTGTATCATCTCCCATTCTACAATTTATTAGAATTAATGTCTCTTATTTTCTAGAGGTCACCTAGTCTCTTTATTTATAAAAGAGAATTTTAATGCCTGTCAGAAAGGATACTATAATATCCAAGAACAATAACACACTCATAAAAATGTTTAAACTGATTTAAAATTGTAAATAAATTATATAATAGCATTTCAGAAAGATGAAACTGAGTAATATATCAGCTTTGAAAATTTGGTTTTCAGGTAGGCATTTGATCCAGCAGTGAAGCCACAGGTTAGGATGCCTGTGTCCCACATTGTAGTACCTGTGTTCAATTCTTGGCCCTGGCTCCTGATTCTAGCTTTCTTCTAAGGTAGACCCTAGGAGGCAGCAGTGATGATTCAGGTAGTTCGGTCCCTGCCACCCATGGAGTAGAAGTGGATTTTTGCTTCCAGCTCCTAATTTCAGCCCCAGCCCAGCCCACTGTTGCAGTCATTTGGGGAGTGAACCTATGTGTGGGAGCTATCTATCTGTCTCCCTGTGTCTCTGTCTCTCAAATGAATAAACAAATAAATATTATTAAAAGAAGAAAGTTTTGTTTTATTTTGAAAGAGATATAAAGTCATCCACTTTTCAACACTAACCTAAATATTCCATCAGCTGCTCAGCAGTTATGATTTCCATCATCGGTGGAAGTTTCACCTGAAAAACAAAGTATTATTTCTATAAAATCAAATGTTTTAGATCACTGAAGTGTTTCCTACAATCAGAAACACAGTATTTAAGTGTATATTTGTATCTACTATATGTATACTTTAAAATTCACACTTATTGTAATCTTGGTAACTAATCTGGATAAAATATAAGAAAGCCAATCCTATCACCAAAGAATTGAACAGGTGATATAAGATTTTATAGAGACATTGAGAAAACTGTTCAAAGTCAAATACTGTGTCTTTCACCACCCACCATAATTATTAGGCACCAAACATGTAACAGGACACCCATGGGGCAGCTTCACAGACAGGCTTGAACACAGTGCAATATCACATTACTCTGTCTAATCTGGTCATTTTTATTGTTGAATGGCTAAAATGAACACAGTACTAAAGTATGAGTCATAAACTAAAAAATTTACCTGATTATATTTATAAGGTTTAAAAGCAGGCAGGGCTCCACACTTAGATGATAAAATCATAAAGAAAAGTAAGAAAATAGATACTATAAAAGTCAGGATTATAGTTATCCCTAGGGTTAAGAGAAAGCTTTATAAATGGACAGAGGCATAGAATGGACTTCTGGGGCACTGGCAATACTGAGTTTCTTAACCTGTAATGGAAGTTCCACCAATGTTTGCCTTATAATAACTTGTTAAAATGCATATATCTGGTTTATATAGCTTTCTGTATAGGTTATATTTCACAATAAAAAGGTTAAAAGTAACTACATATATCATAATTATATTTAAGCGAAAAGTCCCAGAAAATCCATTAAAATTCAATACTTTTAAATATTTTAACTATTTAATATTTAAATATGACAGTCAATGACTTTAAATACTTTAACTGACATTCACAAGCATACACTGTGGAATACTCACAGAACAGTAAAAAAATATACAGGATAGAAACGCAAAGTAATTACAATATCAATAATAGGGAATAGCCACACAATTAAAATTCTTCAGGAACCATTTTATGTTCAACCAAGGAAGTCTTCTAAGTCAGCAATTTTTCCAACAATTTTCCCAAGCATTGAAAAAGGTGCTCTAGATGTTTACATTATCAAATGTGGTAATGACGTACCACAGTTTTTTTTTTTTGTTTTAATCAAGGAGTAAAATACAAATTTTAAAAAGACCCCTACAGAGGCCAGAGTTGTGGTGCAGCACAACTGAGACAGCAGTACCTCACGACTGCCAGTTCAAGTCCTAGATGCTCCACTTCTGATGCAGCATTCCTGCTAATGTGCCTGGGAAAGCAGATGACCACCCAAGTGCTTGGGTCCTTGCCATCCAGGTGGAAGACCCAAATGCAATTCCTGGCTCTTGGCTTCAACCTGGTCCAGCCCTAGCCATTATAGTAATTTGGGGAGTGACCAGTGGATGGAAGATCTCCGTCTCTCCCTCTCTCTGTAACTCTGCCTTTCAAATAAATACATACATCTTTAAAAAAAAAAAAAGATTCCTATAAAATTAAAGTTTGAGCTTTTCTGACAACATATATCACAGTTGGTACTTACGATGTGGTCATCTAGTAGACTTATCACTCAGTTTGAACCAAGAGATGTCAGAAATGTTTTGGTTACCTCCTCATTCTAAATTATTTTTGTCTCTGTGACTTTTTTAATTTTAATAGTTTTTAAGCAGTTTTAGATTTAAAGAAACATTGAGGAGAATGTACAGAATTTCCATTTAGGGCATATTTTAAAACAAATTCATTGATAAAATATTTTTGGAACATCGTAGCTTGTTTATTTATGTAATTTATGTATTGTCTTTGGCTTCTTTTGGTTCCAGTCCCAACTCCTCTGCTTCCAATCTAGCTTTCCTGCTAATACACCTAGGAAGGCAATGGATTATGGCCCAAGTACTAGATCCCTGGCACTCACGTGGGGGACCTAGATGGAATTCCAGGATCCTGGCTTTATCACGGCTCAGTTTTGGCTGTTGCACCCATTTGGAGTATGAACCAACAGAAGCTTGCTCTCTTGCTCGCTTGCTCTCTCGCGCCTTCTCTCTCTCTCTCTCTCTCTCTCTGTATTTCTCTCTGCCACTTTGCCTTTCAAGTAATTAAATAAATCTCTAAAAAATAAATTAAGGCTTATACATTCTCTGAATTGAGAAGGCTTCACTGCAGAAACGTATTCACTAGCAACTTTCATAAACAAGTAGCTCATCCTCTCCTTTGGTTAATAAAGTCAAAATAAGAAACCAAGGCACTAAGAAGCATTAAGATATATATTTGGTTCTCTCTCTCTCTCTCTCTTTCTCTCATTGTCCACTCTGCCTGTCCAAAAAAAAGATATATATTTGGGATATACATTCTTTAATCCTAGATAGTTACATACAGATGATTTCAGGATTTAATATCAAAATCTCCAAATAGCAAATGCCTACCATGTCTTCCTCCAAACATGTAAAACAAGAAATGACAACCTTTATACACAAATATTTTTTAAAATAACATTTACATGCATACTCAGTGTAGGGGACCAAGGACTTAGGCTATCTTCTACTGCTTTCCCAGGCCATAGCGGAGAGCTAGATTAGAAGTGGAGCAGCAGGTCTTGAACCGGCAAACCTAAGGGATGCCAGCACTGCAGGTGGCGGATTAAGCCGCTATGCCACAGCGCCAGCCCCTATAAATAAGATTTTATTATACTAGCTAGATTTCCTAAGTTATTTTTATAAGTACAAGAATATTGAAATTGGGGGTGGCACTGTGGCATAATGGGTAAAGCCGCCACCTGCAGTGCCGGCATCCCATATGGGTGCCGGTTCAAGACCTGCTGCTCCTCTTCCAATCCAGCTCTCTACTATGGCCGGGGAAAACAGTAGAAGATGGCCCAAGTGCTTGGATCCCTGCACCCAAGTGGGACCCTTGGTTGGTTTTTGTTCTAGCTTCCAGTTGATGTCCACCCTGGGAAGCAACAAGTGATGCAATCTTGCCACCAATGCCGGCATCCCATATGGGTGCCGGTTCAAGACCTGCTGCTCCTCTTCCAATCCAGCTCTCTACTATGGCCGGGGAAAACAGTAGAAAATGGCCCAAGTGCTTGGATCCCTGCACCCAAGTGGGACCCTTGGTTGGTTTTTGTTCTAGCTTCCAGTTGATGTCCACCCTGGGAAGCAACAAGTGATGCAATCTTGCCACCAATGTGGTAGACCAGGATTGAGGTCCTGGCCCGACTTTGACCTGACCCAGTCTAAGCTATTGTAGGCTAAGAGAATGGGAGATCTCTGTCTCTCTATGTTACTCTGCCTTTCAAATAAATAAAACATTTTTAAAAAATTAATTTGCTCGGGGCCGGCGCCGTGGCTCCACTTGATTAATCCTCTGCCTGCGGCGCTGGCATACCATATGGGTGCCGGGATCTAGTCCCATTTGCTCCTCTTCCAGTCCAGCTCTCTGCTGTGGCCCGGGAAGGCAGTAGAGGATGGCCTAAGTGCTTGGGCCCCTGTACCCGCATGGGAGACCAGGAGGAAGCACCTGGCTCCTTGCTTCGGATCGGCGTAGCTCCGGCTGTGGCGGCCATCTTGGGGGTGAACCAACAGAGGGAAGACCTCTTTCTGTCTCTCTCTCACTGTCTAACTCTGTCAAATTAAAAAAAAAAAAAGTTAATTTGTTCAAAGTAGCAGAGCTGTGGGGCTGGTGCTGTGGCGCAGGGGGTTAACACCCTAGTGCTGGCATCCTATATTGGCGCTGGTTCGAGACCTGGCTGCTTCACTTCCGATCCAGCTCTCTGCTGTGGCCTGGGAAAGCAGTAGAAGATGGCCCAAGTCCTTGGGCCCCTGCACCCTCATGGGAGACCAGGAGGAAGCCCCTGGCTCCTGGCTTTGGATCGGTGCAGCTCTGGACGTTGCAGCCAGTTGTGGAGTCAACCATAGGATGGAAGACCTCTCTCTCTCTCTCTCTCTCTCTCTCTCTCTCTCTCTCTGCCTCTCCTCTCTCTGTAACTCTGACTTTCAAATAAATTAAAAAAAAAAAAAAAAGTAGCAGAGCTGTGATGCAAATTGAGATCTGACACCAAATCCTTTCTACTATGCCAGCATTTAGACCTCTAAAAACAGCAAAAACACTTCCATTTATGAACTCTTATGTAAAACATCATCTGAAAAATATTTTAAATCAAGAATTGACAGAACTTTGAGTTGACCTGATGAGGAAAGAATAATCAAAGTTAACTCTAAAGCTCAGGATATTCATAAAATTGGAAGCCATACAATCAATAAGAATGGAAATTTGACAAAAATGAGTTTGTAGAAGAAAATGTCTACTTTGGAACTGTGATGTTTACGTTTGATAATCACACAGGAATTTGAGTTGGAACTCAGAAAATAACATTTTAAATTTGTACATGAATTATTTGATTCCTGTACTGCAGTCTACTTATGTATTACTTATAGTAAAATGGATCAACTAAGTAACAAAATTTCTTTTTAGCTTAAATTTCACTAATTTTGAACATGCAGTATGTGTGTGTATGTGTAGCTAGCATTAACACATTCACCATAAATACAGAGAATTTATGATTTTTAAAACTGAAATTATAATTGTCCTCTTCAAGATATTACAAGTATTGTTAATAGAAACCAAAAGAAGAAATGTAGCTTTCCTCTTCTTTTTCAAAATAAGGATTCAGTAACTTAAGGACACTTCCAACATCTCTCTAATTCTGGTTCCAGTAAATAATAACACACGTTATTACAAGCTAGAATATGCCATGATTTATATTCTAATTTCTTATAATTGCTTATTACAAAAAGTAATTACTATACTTATATACTAAAATTCAGATTTTTAAATAAATCTACGTGGCTTTCTACTTACCATCAGAATGTAAAGATAGGAAAATTTGATGAGATAACCTCCAACTTGGAAAGGCTAATTTTAAGCATTTTCACTATCAGTTTTTAATGTGACTGGACTCCATCCTCAGTGTTACACTGTGACCTATTTAAAACCATCAGAAACTGCAGA